GTCTGTCGTAGCAAAACAAAGCCCTCCTCTGTCCAATTACAATCTTTTATTTTATTTAAAAAAATCTTAATTTCATTAAAAACAAAACAACTATAAACAGAAGACAAAAACATACAATCAAAAATAAAAAATGAAAGGCAGCAGAAGAAGAATAAACCTTATATCTGCCACTTTCATTCCCAGAATATGTTCTTACAAAAGTAATTTACAAAAGAACAAAGCTAAATAAGAAAAAACTCTGCATGAGGAAGTTCGGCTTAAAGACACGTCCCAGAGGAGGCGTTTCTGGTCCCAAAAGGTGTTTCTGGTCCCTACCTGTCGTTTTGCTCCTCAGCATGGCTGCCTAAAAAGGCGCCAGGATTTCTAAAACATGCATGAATGAGTCAAAGCAAGGCTTTGGGCATGTTTTTTATGAGAGTGTAACATGATATAAAACTCAAAAAAGTTGATTTTACATGATATTGCCCCTTTAAGGCTGAGTTGGCCCAAATGAAGACCCTTCTCCTGTCTTTCCACTCTGGTGGCAGAGTGGTTCCACCTTCTGAGCCGGAGGGAGTGGTTCGTGATGAAGATATATTGGTGACCCTCCTGAGTTGAGGTCCAGAGTCTCTAGTTCAGAGTCCAATGCCTCTCAAGGGGACTCAGGGGAGTCAGTGATGGCTACCATTAGGACTGCTCCTGCTCGGCTGCAGCTAGATGTCCCACAGGTTTGTCCCACTACTTCTAGCACCATTTATCGCCGACGTAACTCTGATGTAACTTTCATGGTCTCTCCTTCATAAAAGTACGCACGAGAGTTACATGCCTACTGGACAGACACAAAGGCATTTTCATGTCCAACATCAGATGGCAGAGCTCTGGCTGCCATGCRGGAGGCACCTGTTTGGACTGAGGCAGATGCCAGCTGTGGAACCAGGCATTGCCTCCCTTATGCCAGATGAGSCYTTGAGACCTAATGTGYGGTGCCTGAGACCACAATGCCATATTACAGACGACCTGCTCTGCAAGGYGTATGACTCTGCTGCGTGCATGGGTCAYATTGGGAACTCTCTTTTCCATTTAATGTTAGCTTTGTCCTCATCCCTGGAGGCAGTCACAGTTGACCACTCAACCCAGGACCTGTTCGATGCATCCCTGCAGGCCTTTGGCCTTATGACTAGAGAGCTCGGACGCATGCTCTCCACATTGGTCCATGCTAGGCGCCAGATTTGGCTAGCGCAGTCACCACACGAATGTGCTGATACCTTGTTTTTAAACTTTGGTTGGTTTATAGCAAAGTTATTGGCATTTAAGTTTTCTGTACCCCTATGTTTGATGGTCACAAATAGGAAAGGGATGTGGCCAAAAAGGGGTCCCAGGGGGGCAGTGAGATCCAACTTTATTTTCTGTTAACATGCATTTTCTGAAAGAGTGGACCCTAGGGTACATGAAAATACCAGAAGTTCAGTAGTGGGTGGGTGGTGGTGGTGGTGGTGGTGGTGGTGGT